TGTGTCAGAGTTTGTAAAAGTGTTTTCTGAAAGGATGGAAGATATTCGTCATCAAGTGCGTTTAAACTTGAAAACGTCTGCTGATTCCATGAAGCTATGTTATGTTAAGAGATCTGCTGAAGTCAGCTTTGTACCAGGAGACAAGGTGTGGTTGTATAATCCCAGGAAGACAAAAGGGAAGTCTCCTAAGTTGTCTTCACCATGGGAATGGCCATATGACATAGTGGATCATCTCTCAGACGTGACTTTCCGACTAAAATGTGGTCAGCGAGGCAAGCCAAAGGTGGTGCATGCCAACAAGCTTTGACATTATCACGATCCAGGACATTTCAGTTCGAACGAAGTGAACAACGAAACAGACGATGCAGCGGAAGACGTGTCACCTGAAAAAGCCACTGTCGAAGAACAAATTCTACCCGGTTTTGAGAAGGGAAACAGTGAAGCCCTTAATGAAGTTACTACCACTGATGTGACTATTACCGATAATAGGACAATTCCCAATGGAGCAGATGAACCTCACGTGAAGCCAACGAGATGGAGACAAGTATGGAAGAAGATACATCCCGTAAAATTAAGAGACTTTGTTGAATTTTAATTTTCTGTTTGTAGTGTTTGTAAATTCTGTACATTTAATTAAGTTATTGTTAATGACCTATTGGTTTCATTTAAGTGGCTATTGGTCGCGACGAACAATACTAAGGAAGGGGCAGTCTTACAACAGCGAAAGTCACGTGACGCTGGTAACACGTGATGAGTATCTAGAAGATTTACGAAGAGGCGAGTGCAATCTAGATGTGCGCTTTTATAGTATATAAGCCGGCAAATAAAGTGACGGCAAGATAATTTCAGATAGAGAGATTGAAGATATAGACACGGACAATCGAGTCAAGCGGGCGGTAGGCACCGTAAGTAAATTGCGTGAATCGTTGTGAATTATAGCGTGTGTTTAAGTTAAAGTGACTGTGGAAATTCTGTGTATTGCAAAGTTGAATTGAGAAAGAATAAACTAGTTTTATTTAAGAAAGGACATGTATCGCAGAAGTTTCTCGGAAAGAATTTCTACGGAAAATTAACAAACGAACACAGACGTATCAATATTCTACATTTCTCCACCAAGGTTCATCAAAATCCGATCATTTTCGACTGAGTTATTGAGCAAAAATAGTATGAAAAATTGGCCCTGAAGTTAACAATTTGGATTTTCGTGACCTTCCCGTGACCTTGACCTTCCAAAAACTAACTTCTAAGTTGTGGCGTAGTTCAAATGTATATCAACTTTCGTCCAAATCCTTTCAGCCGTTTTTGAAAAATCTTGCTCACAAACACACACACAGGGTGAAAACAACCTCCGTTCACCTTCTGTGGTGGAGGTAATAAACATATCTGTAAAACCTGATAAAAAAAAACATCTCTACGAAGGTTACAAAACATAAATGTTCTTTTTATATATGAAGACTTCTGTCTCTCCAAACACTCCTCGTCGTAACTACTTCCAGATTTCCTTTGTTACAATTCCACATCTTCGCGCGTGTTTTATATCCGCGATAAGTCAATCTATTAATTTAACGGCAAAATCAAGACTTATTTCCGGTTGACTGAATCCAATTTCTGGGGAAAAGATTTCCTGTTTTGTTTTTAGTGTTAAATTTTAAATTATCATAAGTTTTCTGCATGTAAAGGAAATCTATTATCTGTTAGACTCCTACAGAAAATTGTTGGTTGACTGTATAAGAAAATTAAATTCAAACCCTCTAAAACTACTGTTCAAGGCAGATAGTGCAAATAAGAGTATGAAAATTTGCATTTCCTTAAATATAGTGAGCAGACGGCGTCCATCTTTGAGTCTATCACTGGTTCAACTTGAAACAGACATATAAATTTAAACAACGGATATACTTAATTAATTAAAAAATAAAATCGTGTTTCGAAATTCCCAGCTATTGTTTAGAATTACAATAAAGTTATTAAGTAAAAGAGATAAATGGTGTGTTTATTTCGTTATAAGAAAGAATCTAAGAAAAGTATATACTGATTACCAACTTAATCTTTAGTTTCATCTTCAGTACAAAGGTTGCTCTCAGCGGAATTTAATATTACTTACGTTTGTTCCACGTATACACCATAAATAATAAATATGTTAGAGAACTAAAAGTGTGTGAAAAGTAGTCATTACGCTTAAAAGTAAAATGCACAATGAACTTACATGCACAGTTAACAGTTGTTTTCAGTGTTACGTCACAACGATCTCAAGAGATCTAGATTTTTGCGTAGGTTAGATAAATTACCTCTTAAAAATCACGTGACGGCTAGTTGAAAGTAAACTGTGATTTCTCTATACATTTATGCAAAAGTGTAGGTTGTCTGCCACTATGTTACTTATCGGGTTCATCAAACCACCCTAACATCAATATGGTTTCAACTGCTTTAATGCAGATATGGTAGTTAGTAAAAAAATTAAAAAAAATAAAAAGCGCCCTCACAGTGTTACTATGGCAACACGACGGCATAACCCTTGTCGGAAAGAAATGACATCGGTCACCTGATTCATTAGTACAGTTCATAGTTTTAAGCTTATCGTTCTGTCTTGATGCAGAATTTGACGTGTCAAATAAAACTTCACTGTGGGTGTAGGATTAATACTTTACGCAGGTGTATAGAGTGTTAAAAAAATGTGAATCGAACCGGATCACCTACATTAGAATTTCTATACTAGTTACCACGTGGCACGTATACATTTAAAGAGCGTGTTTAAATTAAATCTGCCAAATCATTCTTTTTAACAGATTTCAATTAGAAATACATCATAATGCAATAACTATATGTAAGTTTTATTTATATACACACACACACACGCATATATATATGTACGTGTGTGTATAAATATATATACACACATATTACAACATAAATACACAAGAAAAAAACAAGCTATACTCACTGTTTTCTGCATGGCAAATTATTATGTTTTCTAATACGCAGCATGCTATGTCACAAATTCACTAAACTGTACGATTTATGAAGACAGCCAGTTGTGTTTACATAGCACTTCATACATAGCTGGTTACGTAACATTAGGCTAGATGTAGTCCTCTATGAGATGACAGTCCAGATTACCGTAACGTAGCTTGGAACACTGCTGCACATCGTTCAGTTTAAAGATATCGCTTAATAATATTGATCGGGAATTCCAGTACAACGTAAGTCTTCTGTTTAAAAGAAACAAGCTTTTTTACAGCAATAAATGGGTCATAGTTAAAGAAACAAACAGATTTTGTCCTGGGCAGAACACAGGAAACAGTAAGATATAACACACCATCCAGGTTACCATCAGTAACAACGGAAGCTAGCCGGCAGAGGAAAAAGGATATTAGTCAACCAATGTGTGTGTGTGTGTGTGTGTGTGGAATAGGGGGCTGTAGACATTTAGCTGCGGAGGGGTGCACGTTCTGTAAGTAAGCGCCGTGTTGCATGTGTGTGTCGCTTACCGTTCAGAGCTTGTGACGTAGATAGTTGCTGGAAAAGTTTTATTAAACTGCTTGTCCTGCTTTTCGTACCTAATTAAATGTTTTGAATATAAAGGTATTTTGAATCATATTTTGAAATATCAAAGAAATATTAATTAGACTATGGTTATATTTTTTTCCGAATCACAAAATATTCAAAATCACGTAGAAACTATGTTGGTGGAAACACACACAGTTGGATATATAAGTAAATCTCGTTAATAGAAATCAAGCGCCTACTTATTGTGCCAGTCATTTTTTACTTATTCGTTTTCATTCTCATATGCTTACAAATTATAACAGATATCATGTACCATTCTAAGTCATCATATCGTACAGCTGAACTAATATCCTGAAAACATAAATGTTGCTGAACACTTTATATTTTTAATTGATCCATTTATTTATTCGAGTAAAAAAATCGCAAATAATCCAAAACAAAACTCAAGCTTATCCAATAATATTTCAAGGAGTGTAGAATATTGTTGCAAAATACTGAAGCTGTTTAGGCTATTCTGCGACGCAAGCTTTGATTTAGAAATTGTAGTTATTTCATTAAAACAAAGATAGTTTATATGACATTAACTAGATTGTATTAGAATTACATAAACCAACAAGAAAAGGGAAGTTAGACTGTACTTTTTTTATATCACAAAGCAACTTCAGAGTTAAAAACCGAGCATTATTTTTATCACAAAATGTAGATTTCTAAGTAAAATCTAAAACTTACACTATCACTATTAATTACACTTTCATATTCTATAAAAATATACTGTTACGACAGCGGAAGTCACGTGACACTAGTAACACGTCATGAACTTCTAGAATGATCCTGTCCCTTCCTGAAGTCTCGGAAGGTTACTAGATATGCGGTATTCTTGTATATATAAGACCGGTAGATGACGACAACAATGTGTAATTGAACTGCGGACAGAGAGAGAAGTATTGTTGAGTCGAGCAAGTGAGACGTTCGTTGAGAATTATAGCGTTTGTTATAGAACGACTGTTGAAATTAAGTGTGTAGCAAAATTGTATTCAGAGAGAGAATAAACCAGTATTATTTAAGAAAGGACTTGTGTCACTAAAGTTTCGTCGGAACGAACTTTACGGAAAATTAACTAACAGGACAGGACAGGAATTAGCAAAGTTTTGTAATAGCCGCCAAGATGACTGGGATGTCTTACTCCCTCCACTGTTGATGGCCTATAGGACAACTGAGCATGAAGCCACTGGATACACTCCAGCAAAGTTGATGTTTGGTCGGGAACTTCGGTTGCCAGTGGACCTGATAACAGGACGTCCACCTTACGAAGAGTTGTTTGAAAATGTGCCAGAGTACGTGAAAGTGTTACCAGGAGACAACGTGTGGTTGTATAATCCCAGGAAGACCAAAAGGAAGTCTCACAAGTTGTCTTCTCCATGGGAAGGCCCATATGACATAATGGATCATCTCTCAGACGTGATTTACCGAATAAAATGTGATCGGCGAGGTAAGCCAAAGGTGGCACATGCCAACAGGCCTTGCCTTTATCACGGTCCAGGACATTTCAGTTGGAACGAAGTGAACAATGGAACAAATGACGCT